ATTGTAATAAAAAGTTATAAATTTGGAATGCCTTCTTAATTAAGAGTAGTCCTCCTCTCCAAAAGGAGTTATAAAAATTTCACACCCCTAACCCTCACTCTTTACCCCTATTTATAGTAAACATCAGTGAATGAGAGACTTTGGATTGAATCATTATCCAAAACCATCAAAAATTAGCCATTGATCTGCAACTGACTCGTCAGTATCGATACCAGCGTTGATGCTGGCATCGATGTCCAATCAAAAATCTACCGGTTTTGTCTCGTCGAGATAGGCAATTTTTATATATTATATGTTAAATTCCGCCTTCCGGATTAAGAGATATCGTCATTTTTTTGTGGCCAACCATCTTGAATACATTTTGTTTCCATATTTGATTTTTTTTATTTTCTTCGGCTTCTACAAGCTACTCGGCTTGATTCTGGGCTTAGGATTTTTGGCTCTTGCTTGTGTTCTTCCTTTAATTCATGAGCTTTTGTTGAAATATGGGATTTTTGGGCTTTATTCTTCATTAACCTGCAATTAAAGATAAAAACAATTATTAGTGGTATATTTATTCATTAAAATAGATAATAAGGGTATAAAATTGTAATAAAATATGATTATCAAGAGTATACATTTATATTGATCCTTCAAAAATATACCATCCAAATATAGAAGGGGTCTGCATCCACTCAATAAACCATTGATGCATGCAGCGTAACAAATAAAGAGTCTTGAAAACCTTCCCTCATTCTGTTCAACATGTATATAGCTGCCAAGATTTGTCTCTTTAACCATGTGTTCATACCTAGAAAAGTAACAAGCAACAATCCAAAGTTAACATGTTATAGGTGTAAATTAACAAGCGAACAAAGAAAGTTAACATGTTATCAGTGTAACTTAACAATTTAGCAGCAAAAGTTAACATATAATCAGTGTAACTTAACAAGCGAATAAAGACAGTTAACATGTTTTCACTGCAACTTAACAACCTAACAAAGAAAGATGACATGTTATCAGTGTAACTTAACAAGCCAACGAAGAAAGTTAACATGTTATATGTGTAACTTAACAAGCGAACAAAAAAATTAATATGTTATCATTGCAACTTAACAATCTAACAAAGAAAGGTAAAATGTTATCAATGTAACTTAACAAACAAACAAAGAAAGTTAATAAGTTATCAATGTTATCAAAAAAACTTAACAAGGAACATGTTATCAATGAAAGTTAACATGTTATCAATAAAACTGAACAATGAACATGTTAAGTTTGTGTTTTAATAAACAAACTTTGAAAGTTAACATGTTATAGTTGTAGCTAAACATGATCAGAAACAGACTTAACATGTTATTAGTGTAAGTTAACAAGCATTGTAAAAATAAAGCAGAAATTTTACCATCGTAGTTGATCATACGACTCATATATATCCTCGTACAGCTTCTCATGTGCTCTCTCTTTCTCCCACCAAATCTTACTGTAATTAATTCTAAGGCCGTAGTTTGTGAGGAACTCCTTTTTCACATCAACGGGGTGGATTTCTGGACAGACCTTCAGGAGTGGTTATAACTGTGTTGTAATGAATTTACGGGATACCCTTGAACAACCTGTATTTTACCTATGCTATCCACAAGTGTGTTCATTAACAAACTTCTTGATCGAAAGTCTCTTTTCATTCTTAATAGGTGAAGCAAACAACATATATAGGCACTCGTAAGTGTCTTTATATCGGCAATATACACGGATACGTTTTGATTCATTCTTTTTAAATTCATAATCACACATTTTGACCATAGAATAGTATGTCAACGCGGTTCTTAATTCCTCAGCACTTTTAAATTCTTGACCCTCTTCAGTTAATGCATTGTGCCACCAACCAGGAATCATTACTGTGTTGTTAACAATGTCATCGGATCGTACTATAATGCTACCGCTAGGATTATCATTGGGAATTCTTTCTGAACTATGATTTGCTGCAGAAGTGCTATCAATAAACTATGGCTTCAATTTATTCATAACGATGCACAAATATAAATATTTTTTATAAAATAACGATCACGACTTGTAGTTAAATTCTACATCTTTAAAAGTTAACACATATGCTGTAAAGCTTAACAACCGTGTGATGACAGTGAACATATGATATTTAACAACTAACATTTAACCTGAAATAATTTGCTATACTACTCATTTCTCCACATTTTACTCACACAATTCATAACTTTTCAAAAATTTAAAGATAACTTATATTTCAGGAGGTTCCTTCTGAGTGTTCTGACATTTAAAAACATCTATATCTATAGTAGCTCGGATATGGATCTCCAGACACCCGATATTACGGTTGAGCTCGACCATACACTTCATATCATCCTCGTTCTCAATCTCAAAACTCGGATCATGGATCATTTTAGATTTATACACCAGACTTAACATGTCATATGGAAAATTCAACCTCTCAGCCACATCAAACTTGAACTCAAAAAAAAGAGGTTGCACACGTTACCCTTGAGAACACTGCTTTATCACCCAAGGATACCATGCAAATCAGGGGTTTCTCTGCTATAAATAAAGGAGATTTAAGAGGATTTATGAAGGGAACGTTAGGACAAGCGGATTGTTGAAGATCAAAAGCCATAAGTTCATAAATGTGCCCTTTATACCATAAATGAACTTGAAGCAAAGAAGAGTGGGTTATGAGGAGATATAATGGAGAGAACTTGTCAAAAATTTCCCCTAAAACTGTCATCATCTCGCCTTAATTACGACGGGGATCGATCTCCAGCAATAGGGGCTCGTTTTTTTAGGCTGGAAGAGAAAGTCAGGGGTATTTTCGGGTCTCTGGGTAGAAATACGAGTGAGAGAGGTAACTTGGGGCTCGGTCAAAATTTTTTTGAATTTTAAGGGGTTTGGAATATGGGCCAAAGTACATGGGGCTGGGCCACTTGAAAACTCTATTTTGGGGGCCTTGAAGTAATTTTTCCTAGATAGTATAATAATGAATAGTAGATAAATAATAATACTAAACTATTAGGTGCGCTGCAGCTTAGGAACAATGGTAATCCTAATAGCTTTAGTATTTAGATAAGTGGCTTCACTTAAATACCCTAAGTTTCCTAAAATTAGCACTTTAGTTCTGGGTTAGTATGCGAGAATTTCCCTCTAAATTTCTCCTGCGATTCTCACATTCTATTTTTAGAATATTTTTAACTCTTATTTTTTTTTGTTAAAATTTGGAGGTGTTTGGTTCAACAATTTTATAGAAAATTTTTCTCAAAAGGACTGACAATGGTATTTCTGTAATTAAAAATTTTCTGTAGATTTTAGTAAATTATGATTGGTTCAAAAATATTTATAAAAATGTTTTCTGTAAAGTATAGAAAATTACCAAAATTTACAGAAATCAATTTCCTCTCAAAATGAGCAGAAATCACCCAGAAATCTGACACCTCATTGACACTTTTCTATAAAGTTGATATTTTTCTATAAATTTAGAGGGTGTTTTGTTTAATTTCTACAAATTATAGGAAATCTTGTTATTTTTTATAAAGTTATGAGTTATTTTCTTGTTTTGAACCAAACAAGCAAAGTACAAATAAGAAAATTAGTAATTTTTGACTTCTCAAAATTTTTCCTATAATTTTTTAAAGATATACAAGGAAATCATATTTTAGTGGAAAACATTTCCTATAATTTGTAGAAATTGAACCAAACAACCCCTTATTGTCAAACCTATCAAAATCTCATTTTGAACATAACCTGCTCTTTCCTTAAATAGGATTTTAACAAATTCAATATTTGACAAAAATAAGGGTTGAAATGTTCTAAAAAATAGCATGTGAGTGTTGCGTGGGAATTTTCAGGGAAGAAATTCTCACACTTGCCTAATCGAAGGTACTAAAGTGCAACTTTTAGAAGCTTTGAATATTTAGGTGCAGTCATTTATAAGTTAGAGTATTTATGTGCAACATTGGGTAAATAATAGTGTGTATATAAGTGTAATTTAACCTTATATAAATGAGGGGAAACAATGGTAATTAAGTCTGCCAGATGCGTATAAATTTAATGTCTCACATGATTAAGCTGATAAAAATTGGACAATACGTGGCTTGCTAATATATTGCAAGTGGTTATTGTAAAGAAGGATAGTTAATCTGTAATTGTAAAAAGATTGTAATTTAGCAAAACAAACAATTGTGATTGTAATTACGACTACATTTTGCAATTACAATCATAGCTACATTTTGTGCATTTGGCATACCAAACAATAATATAAGACATTAAATCTAGCATGAATGCATGAAAACTGCGTTATATCGGACAAGTTTGTTAATTGAGCCGCACTATGATTCTATATGAACAATAATAGCATAATGAGCCAGGTGGGACTTCGCTTATTCTACTACCACATCTTGCCTGTGAAAACATAGTAAATGGAATCATGAAAAGTTGCACCAAATTTGCATGAACAAACAAATGCATATTTTACAGAAGTAGGAATCTTGGATGAATATGTAAATATTTGATCAACAAGAACAGAATTATGAGCAAGATTGTCAGTCTCATTTTATTTTGTGCTCCTTCTCCCGGATGTTGCATCTCCCTTCTCCTTTGCTCGTTATATCAATTAAGATTATAGAACTTTCAAATCATATATTAAACTTCGCACTAATCAATAGTTACTTGGTTTTCCTTCACCAATGGTTGAATTCATTTGCAAGCTACTCAAAAGCATCAGTTTCCCTAGATTACCGAATGAATAATCTTTTTCGGTAATCATTATCTCTTTTCATGTTGATTATTGTGTTTCAATCTTCAACAGGACTCTTACAAAAAACATGAAACCAATTCAATCAAAATGTAGGAGAATAAGACATTAATTCGTTCACAACTTTTGCCTGCCCTCATAATTCCTCTTGCCTCCTTAATACACAGCACGGCTCACGGCTCACAAGCAACAGCGACGCATTCTTGATGCTTTACTCAATTATTAAGCCACCAATGCTGTACATATTCTGCCTTCTTCAAACAAAAATATCCATTCAGAAAACTTCCTTCAATGGCCTCTGCAGTTGGGTTCTACTGCCTGCCAACAGCGAGATTAACCAAGAAGTATAGCAGACTGAATAAAGTCAGTAACGGCTACAATGTGATTTTAGCTAGCTCTATCCACAAACAAATACAAATTTGTTTGTCTCGAGGTCAAATGACTAAAGACTGGAGGGTTCAGTGCAACAAAGATGACAGCGTGTTTGAATTGCAAGGACCAAACGATTCCTCTGCTTCAATGAAGTTGGTTGTTGAATTCTACAACTTGATTAATCACAAGAACAAGAATGGCGTTCTTGAGCTAATATCAGATGAATGTTGCTATGAGGATCTTGTGTTCTACTTGCCATTTCAAGGGAAAAAGGTTCATCTCTCGTCCTTTATTTTATGTGTTTGTTCTGATTATAAATGTACTTTTAATTATGGAAGGACAGCCTTTTTTTGTGGATAATAGCCACTTATACTTAATCCATTTTATTAGCAGATATTTTCTTTGAAACTGTCGAGCTATATGACAATAATTAAGTTATCTTTTTATATCCTCAGTTTGATTAAAAGATAAACATGCCTTCTAAATTGAGGGAAAAAGGTAATTTATCATCGCGAGATTTTTCTCATGTAGGTACCTCAAACTAACAAAAAATTAACACCGTCTGATAACCGTAAATAATAAGAAAATAGTATAGAAGGTATAAATGGCTACATCATTATATGACAAGATGTAATCAAATAAACTTTTCTTCAATGTAAATCTATTTGCTTTAATTAAATGAACTTGTCTGTCTTGTTTCAGCAAATAGGCCGGTTTCTGCATGAGCTGATGGATGCAATGGGGCCTCATGTTAAGTTTGTAGTGGAAAACGTCACCAATGGGAGGAAGAATTCGGCTAGTGCCATCTGGCATTTAGGTATTTTATTCCTCCATTTTGGTATTAAGCTTTTCTTCTTTTTGATTGATGTCTATTTTCTTATGATGAGCGCTCAATTAATGTCGCGAATTGTTCAAATAATTTTCGTTTTGATTCTCTAATTCTTTAGTGTTATTAACAAATGTGCTTTCACCCTTCATTTTGACGTTATAGAGTGGCGAGATATGAAGATCCCTTTTGCAACTGGCTACAATCATTTTGAGTTTCATGAAGTTGGAGAAAAACTTTTAATTGGGTAATTGTTCTTTTTAACCTTAACATTCCGTATCTAACTTCTCACAAAAGTCAAGGGGTAAATACTACGCTCTGAAGTTACAATCATCTACTGGGGCTTTTAAAACCCAAGGGGAAAAAACGTGTAACTTGTTTACGATTCACGAACGTCTACATTAACACATTAAAGGGCATTCTCTCAGGAAAATTAGAGGACTTGAAGAATTACCGTTGAAGCCTGGAGACCTAGTACTAGTAAGTTAACACCTTTTTTTTTTCTGTTAACAACTTTTGTTTCCATCATCCTGCCATATTTTGATACATTTTTCATACGACTGGACTTACAGAAACTATTGAAAACTTCCTCCACTCTCTTCGATCGATATCCATATGCAGCCGAAGGTAACTAAAAACAGCCTAAAGGGAATATTTTTCACATATGTTGGGCTGAGATATCCTTTTTCATGGATGCAGGTTTGCTTTCTAATCCTCACGACATGCACGACTTCATATCTATCATCCTTCATATGAGAGGTCACTCAGATCCTTCCGAACAGGAATAAGAAGTCTTGCCAAGCATTTAGCACATTTCCCATTGTTTTCTTGTTCTTGAAATCCCTCTTTAGAAACTTTCAAAATATTGATGCCAAATATCATGTAGAGCGCCGAAGAATTTTCTTCAGACAAGGCTAGCTATATCTTCTGTTTGTACATTTGCTCTAAACTCTGACATGGTAATGTAATGCTCTATTATTCATCATGTCGTCTTTATGTATGAGAAAAAACTGCGACCTCCCTTATACTACATTCACAATCGACATCATTTTTAGAGGTTCACATGAGCAGGTTTACTAAATATGGCACCTACTGTTTAGCCAAAAAAAAAAAATTCCTTGAATAAGGTGCATAACATGTGTAAAACTTTATCCTGAATACATCATCACTAAAACGAAAGAAAAGAAACAAAGGAAAAGAAGTGAAAAAAAAGAAAAAGTAAAGCTGAACAAAGGCACTGCACATGATATTTTATCTGCATCCATTGAACTTTCACAGGGTTTCGTTAAACTGCAACTCAACAAAATACTATGTATTTGTAGTTGTATGTATATTCTGATCTATGTACAAAGCTAATATGTAGCTATATGCTTCAATCCATTGCATTTATCTATACTCTTAAGAAACCATAACCAAATTAATATGCATATGTTTAGCAAATTTAACTACTTAATTCCCCACACCCACCGAGTCGGTCTGAATATTTGCTTAAGAAGTGCCATCTTAGGAACATTCCAATGCTCAACGTGCCTGAACAAACGAAAATATATAGCTACTTGTGAGCAAATATATTAGAAGCTTGAAACTATAGTAGGGAGCGATACATAACCTGCAGACTTTGCCCGATTGAGCATCAAAGTAATATTCGGTGTACCCGGTAGCTAAGGTCGAACACAGAACAAGGAATTAGTACGAGTCAGACGTTTGGAAAAGGATACGATTTTTTCAAGTGCAGATTTAGATGATACCTGAAAGTATAGGCCTCCAAGGAAATGACATAACGCAGCTAAAGCGCCAATGCCCGACGCCTTTATCCTGCAAGCAATCATAATTGATACTGTAAAGTTCAGGCCTCAGAGTGATCAATTTTTTCATAAAGAAAATTGAGAACCACGAGCCACTGAGAGCGGTAGAAAACTTCATGGTTGTCAGGGACCCCTAGTTTGCTATATACGTTGGAAGGTACGTACATAAAATAGGTGAGGATGAATATATTAAGTTACAGGTCGATTAACCTCAAAGTCCTCCCACTTTGTGAGCTTCATATTAGATTTTACAAGCAGCGATCCAAAATTTGTACAGTTTCTTTTGAATCGGCTAAGACCTCGAAATGAACCAGCTGGATCGGCAAACTCACAGCCCTCTTCATATGCTTTGAGGGCCAGGTTTCCTACAAGAAAGAAGTACGTGCCGATGTTAATTAATTAGTAAGAGCAAGAATCACGAGAGTAAACGAAATGACTGTACAAGTATAAATTAATACGCCTCCTGTAATAAGTTTCACGTTTAAACTCCGGCAGATGAAATATCAAACAAGCTTTTAAACTTCTAGAGTACCAGTAACGAAGTAAGAACGGTCGAAGTCCTGTTTGATGGCTTCCACGACTTGAGCTCGACCCGCCACCGATCCCAATCCTTCTTCGGTCTCAATCTCAATCTCTGGCGTCGCCGACGATGACGGAGGAGGAGCCGAGCGAAAGAAAGACGCGACGATTCCCAAAATCTCGGACCCGTACCATGCCGCGCGCAGCACTGCGTTCTCCGAGTCTGTACCGGTTTCGCCCGTCGGGGGGCTGCTCTCTTCCCTCGCATGCAACCGGATGGAGCCGGTTCTCCTAGAAGAGTTCAGTTGGATGAACCTGAAGAGAGGGACGCGATGACCGGCGCCGATCAAGTGAGCAATCGGAGACCCACAGAGAGAAGATGACGCCATTTTTTCAATAATTTAGGGGGGAAGAGAGAGAGAGAGAGAGAGAGAGAGAGAGAGAGAGAGAGAGAGAGAGAG